TTTATGAGTAACTCAGGATCCAATTGCTTTGCCATTTACCCCTGGTAGAAGTCTCATGAAAATATTAACTACTGTGTCAACGACTACTTTTTCAGACATCACCACGTGATCATGGTGTGAGAGTGAACTGCATATGTCCTGGATATGTTTACACAACATAACATGATGACGTCCTTCCTTAATGATACATGGGAAGGGAGATTCAAACCTACTCCGGAAATTGCCGATTTGATCCCGAAAAATGACGAAGAGGCGCGCGAGATGTACTTAAAGTAAGTTCAGTTGTGTTTGTAGCTTGTAATGAGTTTGTCTGACGATGATTGCTCTGCCTGGAATGCCGACATTGTGTCTTCTCACAATGCCTATACTAAGATGTGCTGGATACTGCTTTGCCAGATAGCAGACGGTACAGGATACTAGTCTACTTTTCTATCTATACTGATGGCGGTACTTGGTCAAAACGACACTAACCACATCTCTAGCCTACACCACTCCTTTTTTTATAGAACGTCAGACATTAGCAATGAAGTGATGAAACTCATAAATGATGAGTCAAAAAACGGTCAAGTGTTAGCTATCACAAAGAATCCGGATGATTGCACTCTGGTGAAGGTTGAAAACGTTGAGTTGAAATAATTGACGTTATGTACACTATAAAGTTGCAAATTTAATATTTAACGAAAAGCAATTTGCCAATAAAATCCCATCTTCTTACAGGTAAACTACGTCAAGCGTTCCTCTTTTGAGTTTCTAAATTGATTGCAATTTTCCCCATTACCTTTGCAATTTAAAAAAACGCCCTTGCAAATCCCTTGAGGGAATTTGGAATGTTGCTTACTTACTTACAACATGGCGTCATGACGGAAGGAGCTATTATTCAAGGCTCTTCACCTGCCATGCGAAGAAACTCTCAATCGGCTAATTTAGCCGAGGCTTTATCAACAATTGTTGATACAAACTCTCAAATACAAACAGACTGTAATAATAATGGTGATTCTGACGAAAATTTGACCGGGTTTATTGATGATTTGGGAAGGCGTCTGCAAAGTACATCGAGCGAGATTGTCGTACGACAGCTAATCGCACGAGATACCGATGATTTAGCTGGCTTAAGGGATAGAGTATTGCAACTGGTCCGTTCTAAGTGGAGTTGCTGTCCAAAAGGCGAACTTCAGAGGAGAATTACTAGAACTAGGGGAACGTCGGCGTCAGAGAAGCTCGCACAAGATATTGTAGTGCTTGTGAAATTTTACGAGAGTGGCGAAGGAAGTCAAGCGCTAAAGGACATATTTCGCAAGGTCAGGAATACGGATTGTAGTTACGCTCTCGGAGATAAGGAAGCGAACGCTTTGGATCAACCTACTCTCAAGAAACTACTTGAAATTGTCGAAGATTTAGAAGCAAAATTTGTTGAAACAAATATTCAGCACAAAACAGATATTGACAAATTGAAAGACGAACTTAATCATATGCAATTACATTTAGCCGAAAAAGACTCAAAAACAGTATACTCGTTGCGAGCTAATTGCCGTGCTTCAAAAGAATCTCTAAATTCGAAATGCGAAAGCATCTGCGTCGAGATGGAAAATATTTCTAAAATGGCAGAACAGAGAAAGTCAAAGGAAAGTATTAAAATATTAACGAAAAATTTTTTTAATAATTCCGTAGAGTTTGGCAACCCTGAACTTGCACCCCCAGGACCCAAGGGAGTTGTTAACAATGGTACTCAGCCACGATCCTTTGCCGCTATAGCGAGTGGTAGTAATGAGGACAATGAGCAAGTTACTATTGTGAGTGTTATTGATTGTGAACAAAGCCAAGGACAAATTAATACAGTTCTAGTTAATGATGATGATAGTAACAAAGGCGAGAGCGCAAATGACCCGGGACCGCCGTCGAATAATACTGATTGTTCAAAACAAAGTCAAGTAATTAGAAGTTCAAAAACAAGTGAAAATAAAAATGAAGCGAGTTTAACTGATTCAAAGGAGTTTATTGGCGTGGAACGGCGCAACACAAAACGATTGTATCTAGGTGGTGTTAAAGACGGGGTTCACGCGAGCACTACAAAGGCGTTCAGCCGACTTTCGTACGAATGATGAAAAGTCGGCGAAGTGGTACCGTTGCTGTGCGTATAAATGTCAGAGCTTCAGATATTAAGGAGATTCTTGAACCAAATTTTTGGCCGAAAAATGTAAGGGAATGGCTCTCCAAAGATAAATGGGAAAAACGGTCAGTGAAATCTGACAGAGATCCATCCAGAGAACCGCCTTCATAAACATTGCATGTTGGAACTGCGGAGGCATCAAATCGAACTTCGTTTATATGCAAAAGTTACTTGAAA